CACGGACCATGCTGGTTTCGGGGAGCTGAAGGGCAGGAGAGCAGATGGAGGGACAGATGAGGAGGCGGGAGAGGGAGGACTGGGCGGGTCCTGGTCTCTGGTGCAGGCTGGACGGTCTCTGGCTGGATGGTCCGGACTGTCTCTGGCTGGACGGCCTGGACGGTCCCCGGCCGGACGGTCCGGGCGGTCTCTGGCTGGACGGTCTGGACGGTCTCTGGCTGGACGGTCTCTGGCAGGACGGTCTGGACGGTCTCTGGCACAGGCTGGATGGGGCTGGACGGAACCAGCGGTGAGGGGAGTTCAGGCTCGGGTGGGCTGGACGGAACCAGCGGTGAGGGGAGTTCAGGCTCGGGAGGGCTGGACGGAACCAGCGGGGAGGAGAGTTCAGGCTCGGGGAGCTGGACGGAACCAGCGGGGGAGAGTTCATACTCAGGAGGGCTGGACGGAACCAGCGGGGCGGAGAGTGTCATGCTCGGAGGGAGGGCTGGACGGAACCAGCGGAGTGGAGTGTTCATGCTCGGGAGGACTGGACGGAACCAGCGGAGTGGAGTGTTCATGCTCGGGAGGACTGGACGGAACCAGCGGGGCGGAGAGTTCATGCTCGGGAGGGCTGGACGGAACCAGCGGGGCGGAGAGTTCATGCTCGGAGGGCTGGACGGACCAGCGGAGTGGAGAGTTCATGCTCGGGAGGGCTGGACGGAACCAGCGGAGTGGAGTGTTCATGCTCGGTGAGGACTGGACGGAAACCAGCGGGGCGGAGAGTTCATGCTCGGGAGGGCTGGACGGAACCAGCGGGCGGAGAGTTCATGCTCGGGAGGGCTGGACGGAACCAGCGGGCGGAGAGTTCATGCTCGGGAGGGCTGGACGGAACCAGCGGAGTGGAGAGTTCATGCTCGGGAGGGCTGGACGGAAACCAGCGGAGTGAAGTGTTCATGCTCGGGAGGACTGGACGGAACCAGCGGGGCGGAGAGTTTATGCTCAGGAGGGCTGGACGGAACCAGCGGAGAGGAGAGTTCATACTCGGGAGGGCTGGACGGAACCAGCGGGGGAAGCTCGGGCTCGGCAGGGCTGACGTGGAGCGGAGGTCACCAGTAACCAGACAGTTGATGGGCCCCATTGACTTATATAGTAGGGAGAAAAAAAATACTATAAGTCAATGGGGTCCATCAACTGTCTGGTTACTGTCATTATTCAAAATATCTTCTTTTGTGTTCACAGCACAAGAAAGAAATGCATACAGGTTTGAAACAACATGAGGGTGTGTAAATAATGACAGAATTTTATTTTTTGGGTGAACTATCCCTTTAATTCCAGTACAATGAAATAATTAAATGTATCAAACTACACTATATACACTTACACTATACTATAGGCCGAGATGTTTGCCTATCTTTTACTGGTATGTGATTTTAATACTGAAAATTTGAATGACTACTTATAAATGTAGATAAATCTTGACAAGACAACAGTATGTTTTATGATATGGCATTGTTTATCTTACCTGTAATGCTTTGCACTCTGTAGCTTCTGCAAGGATTGTAGCATAGATGTCCTGGCGTTGGTCTTCTGACAGGAAGGGCAGGGCCTTAAATCTCGGATCCATAGCGGTGGCCACATAAAGCGTCTCCTTGTTCAAGTACCTCTTTTTGAGATCCTGGCACATGGCAGATTTTATTTCCTTCACTAAGTTGGAATCTGTTGGGCTGTCTTGTAGGTCATGGGTCAGCTGGGCAAGGAGTGGTGCTACAACTGAAAGTGTTGGAGTGGTCTCTTCTGACATGACTAGTGTAGCTACCTTCATGGGCTTCATAGCAGTGACCACTTCTTCAGCAGCTGTTATGTCTGCCTCACTGAGGGTGCAGATGTCCTTCTCTTTCTTCCTCACCTCAGGTGAGAGGAGGGCAGCATGGATGGCTGGCTGCTGTTCTAGGAAGCGCTGCAGCATGTCATGTGCACTATTCCATCTGGTGACTACGTCAGTGAGCAGTTTGTGGTGAGGCAGATTTAGAAGTTTTTGTTTTTCACGCAGTACATGGTTGGCTATGGTACTGCGTCTGAAAAAGTTAGTTATTCTTCTCACTCTTCCCAGCAAACGCGCGACTGGTGTTAGTTGAAGTGCGCGCTGTGAAGCCAAATTCAAAGTATGCGCAAAACATTTAATATGCAGCATACCAGCTAGCTGCGCTGCAACGGTCATGTTCGACGCGTTGTCAGTGACAACCGCGGGGTCCTCGCTTTTTATATCCCATTCCTCTAATGCATCTTCCAACACCTCGGCGATGTTACTACCAGTATGGCTCTCATGCATTGCCCTCGTCTGCAAAACATGAGAAATCAGTTCCCAATTATCATTGATGTAGTGCGCCGTGATTGTAACATACGATTCAGTCGCCCTCGATGTCCAGCCATCGGATGTTAAGGCCACTCTTTCTGCTGAGCCTAGAGATGCTTTTACAGCTTGCTTCACCTCTTCATACATCCTGGGCACAGCTACCTCGGTAATGTGTTTGCGAGTTGGGATCACATAGCGCGGCTCCATTGTGTTTACCATATACCTCAAGCCACGGTTGTCAACGACACTGTATGGCCGCAGATCATGACAAATGAAATGCACCAACGACTCCGTTATTTTTAAAGCTCGAGCTGAGTTAAATGGAAGTTTGTTATGCAGTGTAGTCTGCTTTTGATCGTCAGGTTTTGGTTGCTTCTCTTTCAACATAATTTCTGCATGACGTCTGACGAGATGCGTTCGTAAATTAGTTGTGTTACCTAAATATTTGATAGCAGCGTGACAAAGCTTGCATATTGCGTTCGTTTTATCCAAGTCCAATCTCCCTGGTTTGTTTTTAAAACCGAAGTGCACCCACACATCGGCTTTATATTGCGAAGGGGCCGAAGCAATTTTGTCGGCTGCGTCTGCCATGTCGCTTGCAGCTTTCACTACTGAAATTGGCGCTCTATGGTACCCGCCCAGGCACCCACAGCCACACCCAGGACAGCAAGTTGAAGGAAACTAAAGCTGCCATACTGCGACATCTAAAGGAACTGATGTTATAGTTCACCAGGTCACACCCCGTTTAAAACGTGATTCATTTTTTTTTTACAAAGATTTTTTGAGCTGGAAATCGATGTTGTATATCATGAATATAAAAATCGCGATATATTGCTGTATCGAATTTTTAGCACACCCCTAATCAGCTCACGTCACGAACTAAACATGCCACATCGATCCGCTACCGGTAACGTCACCAAGAACACTCCTAAAAGAGCTCGCAATGAGCGATCTAGTCCCCAACACCTAAATGCTGTACCGACAACAAAGAAATATTACTCTCCATTCAGACCCAACTCACCGGCTTCGAAGCCATGTCACTCATCGAAGTATTACACAAGGAGATTCAAGCTTTACGAGCCTCGAATTCAGTCAAGAACAAATAGACACTCTCAAGCAAGAAAACAAATCACTTACATTATCCGTTCAGTCACTCACTAACTTTCCACTAATACTGCTGATCTGAAAATATGAAAGCCACCATCTTAGACCTTCAATCACGCAGTAGGAGAGAGAATCTTATTTTCTCGAGCATACCGGAGCCAATTCACGAAAACCCTGAAGAAACAATACGAGCATTCATGTCCGAACAGCTCAAGCTCTCAGCAGAAATGGTACAATCAATCAGCTTTCACCGGGTACACCGCATTCAATCCAGAAACAACCGAAACGATCGCCCCAGACCCATCGTTGCAAAATTCGAACACTTCAAGCAAAAAGAACTGGTACAACGCCAAAGCAAACATCTCAAAGGCACGGACTTTGGACTCAACGACCAATACCCAAAAGAAATACTACAACGCCGCAAGCAATTATTCCCCATTCGCAAACAGATGAAAGAAGAAGGTAAGAAAGCAGTTATAGTTGTCGATAAACTTTACATAAATGATCAGCTGTATCGTGACAAGATTATTACTCCCTGGCTGTTTAACTCTCACACTGGAATCTATGCAACACCAATGTTTCTTCTCCATCATGCCTACATCTATATAATAACTATAAGCATTAAAACATTAGCACAGGTCTTGTAACTACACTTTCCCTCTAATAACTTCAGATATTATACTGTCAGTATTTATGTCTAGGTTGGTGTCTTTATCTCTGTTGTTGTTGTTATTGTTAAATGTACTATTTTCTGGCTTTATTTTATTGCTTACAGTACCCAACTTTAGTTTAGTTTAGTTTACCATGCTTTCACAATACAGATAACGCACGGTTCTATGCACTCACAATCACTTACTAATAATATTTCATACACTTTCATTCATTCTGGATTATCTGTACATTATACTCAATTAGATCAATATTTTTACAGTTAAAATATGCCCAAACTGTGTTTCCTAACATGGAATATTTGTGGTATTGGGTCTCGGGCAAAGAGGGCCAAGGTGTTGGACCATTTAAATAAACTGCAGGCAGACATTTGTCTCCTTCAAGAAACTCATATGGCAAAATCTGATTGTAACATAATCAAATCATCTCAATATAATCAGGTATTTTCTGCAAATTATTATACAAAACAAAGAGGAGTCTGCATATTGATTCATAAAAATATCTCATTTACTCATAATTCTAGAATCGCTGACACTGAAGGGCGCTATATTATCATCAATATCTCAATAGAAAATAACCCAATTACAATCGGAAATATATACGGCCCAAATTCAGACGATCCAACGTTTTTTTCAGTCTTTTTTTTCTGCCATCTCAGATCTGACTGATTGCCCAGTAATAATTGCAGGAGATTTTAATACAGTCCTTGACCCTTCAATAGACCGTTCTGGTAACCCAAGAAATAAACCAATATGGCAATCTACATTAACAATAAAACAATTCATGACTGATTATGGTCTTGCAGACAGCTGGCGCTCACAACACCCGAGCAGTAGAGAATACTCATTCTTCTCTCCAGTCCATCACTCATATTCCCGCCTGGATTTTTTTCTCACAAGTAACTCCATGATTTCTAATATATCCCAGTCATCAATTCAACCGATTATCATTAGTGACCACGCCCTGTTACAATTAACTGGACAATGACTCATACACACAAAACAACACCTAGATGGCGGTTTAACACCTCTCTCCTCCAAGATTCAAAATTTGACGCCCTATTTAAGAAAGAGTGGGCACTCTTTCTAGAAGTTAATGACTCTCCTGGGTTATCATCCTCTCTTCTGTGGGAAACAGGAAAAACAGTACTCAGAGGAATTATTATATCATTCTCAGCCCACAAAAAAAAAAAATAGAACATGAAAAAGAATCGCATTTAGAACAAAAAATTAAATATCTCGAAAATATTAATAATACTGAATCAACAATCGAAACTAAGAATAAATTAGAGTTATATAAATCAGAACTCAATGAAATAATTAACAAACGTACTCAATTTCTAATACACAGGTTAAGACAGGATTACCATAAGCCTCCCCACTGCTAACTGGGAACTGGATTTATCTATTCACACTGATTTCTGGACTCAAGTCTGCAAAAAATTCTAATCTA